CCAGAATGAAATTCACACCTACCATTATCGTCAAAGCCACGAGGGAGTTTTTCATGAGTAGTGAAGATTCAGAGTTTAACCAAATGCAATTCTAGCAAGGGAGGAAGCAATTGTGCATACAACATTGGAATAGGATCAAATTTCCATTCAGACTGTTTTGGCCTCTACTGACGGACTTTGTCTTTTTGGGTCCTCTTGGGAAATGACAATTGGTTGTGGATGGGAAGATCTTGGAACGCAAGGCGGTGGAGGAGATACTCCCTGACTTAAAAGAGTCCCCAGGTTAAAGGGAGGAATGGTAGCTCCTATTGTAGAAGGCATGGAAACATCTTCTTTATTTAACATCGTCCCCAAAATTCCCATAACCAAATTCAACTGAGTCTTCAACTGACTATTTTCTTCTTTCAAGAGTTCTTGTCCACATACCAAATAATGTACGTCTAACATCGAGAACCCCATTTGTTCTTTCATCTCGTCCAATTTCCCACGAAGTTCTTCCATAACTTGAATCTGATCACGGAGCGGCGAGAAGTCAAGATTTACAGTTCTGAAAAGAAAACATCGATTCTGAATAAGGATTCCCCATTCTGAGTACCTTCTGAGTACCTACTATGGATGCATGAAGATGCATGAAGATGCATGAGGTGAGTGAGATAATTCCTCTTCTGATATGATTTGGACACCACAGTCTCCAGATTGATCTCGTCTTGGACCTTGTCGCTAGATGACGTACCATCTTCAATCGAATGATCATTTTCCCCAGAATAATATGCGTAGAAGATTCTTTCAGGAGAACACATGAATGCTTTTCCAAGCGAATCGATATAAACTGGTGAAAAAGAGTGTGGCAATTGGCCAAATGAGAATTGGTCCTTTGGAAGGGACGCCAAACAGGTGATTGGCTTTATATTTCAACCCCTTTTTAGTCTTCAATATCAAAACCGGGTACCCCAGAATAGGGGATGCATCTAGCCTGTGTATGGAAATCAGAAGAGCTGTTTGTGGGAGGGAGACCCCAAAGATCAGAGCTGGAGACAAAAGGATGTAGTGCAATGGGCTTGTAACAGCATGCTCATCAGGCATCTTCTGTCTTTGCTTAAAAGCTTTTTTTTCATGAATTCACCAGGGGAAGAAAGACTAGTTGCTGTTGAACAAATTAGTGAACACAAAGTTATGAAGGATGCCCCTGATTAAAAATTCCGATGCCTCGGTGTGGCAACCATGTCTGGCGTTGGTCAACAAGAATGAAGCGCTGATATAAGATCCTATAGTAAATGGGAATCATCTGCTGATAAGATGTTCCAATAACTCAGGATTGTGTAGCACTCCATGGTTGGAAGCAATTCCCTAAAATATGAGGAGAATAGAGAACCTTTACTGTGACAGTAGGTTTATTGATCATCATTAGAGCTTCCATGACCTGGTTCATCTGAGGCTTTAATTGACTATCTCCCTTCTTGAAGAAATTTCTGACCGCAGGCTAAAGATTGCATGTATACTACACAGAGTTGTTCCATAACTGATCTCTGAACACGTGGAGCAATAAATCAAGTTGAACCTCCGAGGAGAGCACCAAGTCTGAATAATAATCCCCAATCTTCGAGTATCTGTTATGAATGCATGAATATGCATGGAGTGCATGAACGGATGCCATGTTATATTCCTTCATTCCAAAGGAACTTACGTGCTTTGATTTTGATTTTATGTAAGTAAAAGATGGAAAGGTTCAACACAAGGCTTACAAATATGATTCCTTGGAAATAATAGAACATGTATGTTAAGCATGTCGTTAACCATGTTATGTATGCAAAGGCATGAGATCAAATGGGATCAAGGTTCCATTATTCCATCATTTCTAAATATGATTGCTGCATTATTCCGAATCTTATGAATATCATCAAGTCAAAGGTTTGTCATAGCTTCCGCTCATATAAGAACCAAGTACCATGTAGATCTCCCATTGTACGGGGTCAAGGCTTCTGGAACATCGGATACTATTGAGCATTTTCTGAATATGTTGGGAATGCCAAGATCGAAGGCTCGAATGAACCTCCAAGCAAATAAGTCAGGAACTCAGAAAATAAATATGAGAACCATATAGTCACCAACAGAATATAGCATCTAAATAAGTCACCAACAGAAATCCAGAACATAACCATTAGAACCAATAGTCATTGTCTGATCATAGTCTCCCTCTGAACATGAGTAACCATCTAAACATAGTCAACATTTGTACCTACGATAAAAATTCCCTCCCTGCTCACGGGTGAAGACTAGATTAGGATAAGGCAAGGGTAACTCGAAAATCACAGATTCGTCTGAAAGTAGAACCATCGCAACACAGACGTGCATGATGAAAATACCTCCATTTGAACCTCATCCGAGCATGGTATATGACATGACTACACTAGTCAGACCACGTCCTATAGCCGTCATGCCCCCACTCTATTCCTAGTGTCCTAGTGTACTCTGGCCTGGGTACTGGGCCTTTTACCTTAATAGTAACATCTCAACCTAATAAAGAAACAGAGATAATACAACAGTAGTATATGGAAAACAGTAAGATGCAATGCACACATATGCTCAGGTATATACAAAATGAATGAATAAACTGAAAGCATAAAATAAACACCTAAAGAAAAGATAACAAGATCTAGGAGCGACTCCGGGATGGACCAGCATTTGGTCGACCTGTCCCTAGTGAAGTCGCCAGCTGAAACAACCGGCTGAAAATCATCAAACAATGAAGTCGCCATTGAATGTATTTTATCCCACAGGAAGGGAAAGGTAAACATCGAGAAAACCTGAGAAGGGTGAAATCAAGGTCGAACGACCAAGAGATAAGGGTAAGGGAGCCTGTTACACGAGGGGAAGGTATTAGCACCCTACACGCCCGTAGTACTTTACGGTATCCACTCTTGTTATCTATCTTATGGGTGTGTTCAACCTACGCTTACTGTTTACTATACTAATGAAGAAGAATGCATGCAAAAGAAAGGAAAAAAATGTAGGCAAAATAAAAGTTGTGCTCGTTCGGGCCCTACCCCGATGCCTACGTATCCCTTTTTAAGGAATCAGAGCAGTCGTAGTTCGGCTCACATGTTTTTGTTAGTTTGTATTTTTTTAATGAACGATATTAATTTCGCCTTCTGCCGCAACTCGACCTTTGGAGACATATGCGTCAGCACAGAAGTGAATTAACATGCTCTTTTGAAAAAGTTTGGAGAAAAGGTGCTTGGGCGCACAAAAAGGTTTGAATTGGTTTGTGTTTTTAATGAACAATATTAATTTCGCCTCCTTCCGCAACTCGACCTTTAGAGACTTACGAGTCAGCACAAAAGTGAATTAACTTGTTCTTTTGAAAAGGTTTTGAAAGAAAGGCCCAAAGGCAAAAAGAGTTTGTGTTTGTTGGTATTTTTGTTTGTGGATAATAGCTAATTAATCTCAAGAGAGAGATATTAACCATTTCTCTACTTATTTATGAAAGGATTCTTTGAGAGTTTAACCACACCTAGGCTTGAGATGAAGAACAATAATTTCGAGAAGAGACCCGCTTATCATTTCTCATGCTTCAACAAAGGCGCGATTCTCATCAGTAATTTTTAAGTGTTTTTTGAAGTTTGCAAGAAAAAGAAGTTTTTGTTTTTAAATGCATATGCAGAAAAAAAGGGAAAGAAAAGTCTAAAGGGAGACTAACCTAAATCTATCTCTAATATTATCATACTTCACACAATCTCTAGGAAGTGTTGAATGTGAAGAGAATGCGGCAATAAAATATACCAAACAAGTACTAGCCCGTAGAGCAAAGCAAAAGCAACGAAACCCGACGATCTTCGCGAAAGCTTCACCATTCAAAGAAAAGAGTTAGAAATCAAATTCCCGGAATAAGTGTCGACGCATCATCGATTGTGAAAAATGAATCACAATCAAAGTCTCAAGCATATCCGCATAATAAACCTGCATAAGGCTCCAATCTCACCAAGCAACGGTGGATCATGAAGTATTAGAAGCAAGATGATTATCTAAACATAAACCATAATAGATAATTCTAACAAAATTCAAAAAAATCCAGGGGAATTATATTATATTCCTAAAAAACAATTAGCAAAATTTTTATTGTTTTTATTATTAGTTTTGATTATAAAAAATTATAGAAAGGAACCTAATGAGAAAAAGAAACCAGAATTCTAGTCAGAAGGGGGTACAGACTGAAATCCAGGGGTGTAGCCATAATCTGGGCGCTAAGCCCATTAGATTGAATCCATTACTTAATTTTTGTTTAATGCCATGCTGACTCCAAAAGATTATCATGGGCTCAGTGTAAAGGATGGCCTGGTCCAATTATATTCCAGCACAAAAACAAAACCTTCAGCATTATTATTTTCCCTTTTTTTTTAAATTAAAAAATTAAGATAATAAATAATAAATAATAAAAAAAAATGAAAGAGGAATTAGGTTTTGGAATTCGGTTTTGTGGCCCTCCAACTTCAGCGCAATAAATTTCCTGCTCCTTCTCTTCTCTCTCAACCACGGCGGCGACCCACTCCCGCTCTCATCTTCCCCGATTCGAACATCGATGAAGGGCTAACAGTACTGCTTATGACGAGTTCTGTATCGTCTCCGCTTTCATCTTGCTTGACACAATCGGTGCGGTTCTCTTCTTCATCATCGATCATCCCGATGTTGTATCCATGATGTTCATCGATTCGAAGCTCCTCTGCTCATATTCTATTTCGAACATCTCCGATTTCGTTTCCGTTCTCTCATTCGCTTGTATATAATGTATTTACCAGCCGGAGAATCGTCTGGCGCGTCTTCTAGAAGATTACAATGATAATCAAATCAGATAACTTCGGCTAAGGCTTAGGTACGTGTTTTATGATTGAAGCGTTCATGTCTTCTTATGATCTGACGATCCCTTCTTGATTCATTTTTGATCCGTGACTTGGTGTTATATAACACTGAGCAATTATGGTTGTTTGAACTATGTGCAGAGATGAATGAAGATTCCGAGGAATGAAAGCCATGGAAGTACATCAAATATGGAGGAGTATCAAGAGGTTGTTGTTGCAAAGCTACAGACTGAAGCACAGTGGCGCCGGTTAATACCGAAGTTGCAGAGAAAAAGAGCATTGAAAACGCAGGGAATCAGAGGGGGCTTAGAGGTTGTGATTTTCAGAGAGTGTGCAAAGCAGTGATAGATATTATGCAGCTTGAAGATGATTTGAGATTAAAGAGAAAAAGAGAGATGGGAGTTTTCTTGTTTTGTTTGTTCTTCCTCGAACCACTGCGACTCCATTTCACACTTCTTCTACTCGAATTTCTGCATATATTTTCGATTGAAATGGTTATTGCTGATGTGAAATATGCAGATTTGTTAATGAAGGTGATGAGTGATGAAGGTGATGAAGAAATTCTAAGGATTTTTGTGGTGATTCTTGTAAGTTGAAGCTAGAAGATGCAGTTATGTAGAGATCTTGAAGGGGGTTCAAGAAGGAAGGTTATGGATGTTGAAGAATGAAGTCAAGATTCAAGGGAGATTCTCAAGAGAACGATGGTTGAAGGAATAGGAAGAGAGAGTGAAGGTCGATGAAGATAGAGTGAGTGGAGGCTGAAAGAAGGCAGAGAGAATAGTGAGAAGATCAGAATCTTGTTCTGTGATTTTGATGATTCTGCAGAATATTCCCGGATCCCCAAATTGGTGTGTCCTCTTTCTGTTTTATACTCCTGCCAGTCTGTATGGTTGCAGTTAGTACAGTTAGAAGTTGGTTAGAGGTTTTTAGAGTTAGTTAGGAATTGGTTGGAGTTTGTTAGAATCGTTGGAAATAGTGAAAATCTGTTAACTTTAGTTTAGGGAAGTTAGAAGTTGGAAACTGTTAAAAATAGTTAGGGGTTTAGACTGCTCCTTTAGTTGGTTTTGGTTAGGAGATATTAGGAAAAGTTGTTAGATGGTTGGGTAGAGGTTAAAGAGAACTAACTAGGCCCTGGCGGTTATGATTTCGTTTAGTTTTTTTCTGTTATAGGATTATATGATTTTCTTAGAGATTTGGTTAGGGAGCTTTATCAGCTCTGTTAGTTTTTAGAATAGTTAGTTAGGACTTGGTTTGGAGTTAGTTATGTATAGAGGTTAAAAGTTAGTAAATGTTGTTAGTTTAGTTAATTGGTTCTGTTGTGGGGATGTTAGGATGTTAGAAATCTGTTAGTTTATAGAATTCTGTTAGGAATTTCTGAAGTTGGTTAGAAATTTCTTTTTGTTTCTGTTAATCAGTTAGGATTAGTTACAGTTATTTTTGAATCAGCTAGAAGTTGGTTAAATTCTGTTAGTTTGTTATGAATTCTGTTGAAGTCTGTTTTGGCGGCTAGTTGCGATTTTTTGAGGTTCTGTTTGACGGTTAGAAAATTAGTTGGTAGTTAGTTACTAATTGTTTTAAGTTTGGTTAAAGAAATTTTGTTTGTCAACTGTTAGTTAGAAACGATTAGCCGGTTAGAAGCTAGTTAGATAACTCAAAATTCAGTCGCAAGTTAGTTATGGGGATCCGAAGACTTAGTTTTAAATTTTGTTAGCCATTAATGCACCCTCAGGATCAAATCTACTTAAAGCCAGTTGGACTACCAGAGCAAAAATTTGCCAACAAGACTATTGGCAATTAGGCTGCATAAAGACTCCATCCTCTATTAGTGCAGAAAGCTTAAAGTAAAAATGCTAATTTAAAACACAAAGCCATTAACTAAAGCCCCTTAGACAAAACTTGTTATGCTAGAAAGAGTCAGCTATGAAATATTGAAGTTTTGTTAAATGGCTAAGAAATTAATTTAAGCTTATTACTAACTATTAAAGGCTATTTAGATGTTGTTAGTTCCTAGTTCTGTTGGAACCATAAAAAAACCAGTTAGTTCTATTAGATGGCTAAAAAAAGGTTAAAAGGTAAAACTCTGTTGGTTTAAATTCATTCCTGATTTTCTATTAGTGAATGCAACTTAGTCATTAATCTGCTACTTACTTTGTTTTTTTTCGATTTTTTCTGATTTCTGGTATGAACAAAACGCAGGGATGATTTACAGTTTTGGGTTTCAAAATTGAGGACTGTTGAACTATGTTTATGAACATAGCAGGGCAATGCGTCTGTTTTTTTTAAAAGAATCCAACAGGTTGGTTCACTCGAAGTGCAAAGATTGAAGAATACATGAAGATGGAGAATTAATGTTAGGGATAGGCATAGCATGGTGGTGAATCATGTAATTCAAAGGATAGTCAAGGTCTTAGCATGGAGATTGGAATACAAAATTCGCATGAAGAAAGATTGGAGATTTTAAGTTTTTGATAATTTTTCATGTAATATTCTTGCGCGTAGTTTCCTACGGTTTTGTAATGGTTTCTCTTGAATTTAATTGAATCGAAAAAAATGGTGTATAGAACTTGAAATTGAAATGACTTATGGTGAATTTGTAATGAATGAACTTGTTGGAATTTTTGTTGAACATGGAATGAAGAATTTTTGAAATGGTGAATGGAACTTGAATGTGAAATTAGATGAACTTGAATATTATAGTGTGAACCAAGGTAATGTAGTATGATCTTGCATACAAATGCAACTTTGGAAACTCTTGAATCAAAATGACAAATTATCAAGGGTGCAAACTACTTTCTTTTCATTTGATTTTGAGTTTACCGAGAAAGAAGTGTCTTCCTTTCTTCTTGAATTTGATATCCCAAGTCCTTCATTGACCTTATATTTGTAAAATTCCAATGTCTCGCATTCTATCAATTTAGATGAACTCCCCTGCTTGAATATCTTCAAATGAACGAATATATGTTTCCTTACATCAACTTGAATGAATCCATACTTAGACGTCTACATTTCCTTAGCTCAAAAAAACCTAATCTTCGATACAAAGCTTTTTAGATTTTGTCTCAAAGAATTTAAATGAAATCCGAAGAAAATAGATTGTACTTCAAATAAGCTAATCGACCAGATGAAGAGCTTTGCATTATAAGGCATACAAACCCTAATTCGGGAAGAAGGTCCAACTGAATCTTCGTCTCTAGAATAGAACTGCTTCCCACATAACTAGAGATTCAAACAATGCTTTCCTTCTTATTTGACAAAGATATATCAATTGAAACCCTGGTTGTTCATGGATGATATCCCTTGATTGTAGCCTTGCCTGATAATCACAACTTCGCAGAGAAAACTCTCTTGAATGGTACATGATTTAGAGAAATAAACCTTAATCCAAGGATGACGTTGAGCACAAGGAGATAATGAATACATGATTTAGTAGCCCTTAGATGACCTCGTAGAACAACTTTGAAATGAACATAGGAATACAGAAAGAAATATGACCAAGATGGCCATGACTTAAGAAAACTGATGAACCTCGGTTGATGAAATGCTGACAAGCACAAACTTGGTGGAGAAAAATTCTGACTCTTGTCTTGAATGCATCTGAATGAGTAATAACCCCCTTAAGTTGAAGAGACCGAAACCCTTAATAAGCATAGGTTGAAATCCTAATTCCACATTTCACTGCTTGAAGGATAATAAGAAGAATCAGGCTTTATTGGATACGAACACCTTAACCGCTGCGAAACCCTAATATCGCACAACCACTGAACTTTGAACCTCAAGCTCTTCCGGATGCAAATGTATGTTAATGACCTAATGGAATATATACAGATGAATGCAAGAGTCTAAGCCAGATAGAAGAAATTAGGAGGGTAAATTTTGGGGTGCAACAGCAGTCAGAAGGCATACCATGCTGACTTCCAGGCCTAGACGAAAAGCATGCCTACACTGATTCCAGGCCCAGTCGAAAGGCACTCCCTCACTGCTTTCAACCCCCAGTCGAAGGAGGAAAAAAGGCAGATTATATCTTGCACTGGTTCCAGGTTCAGTCGAAAGGCACAACATGCTGACTTCCAAGCCCCAATAAAAAGGCACAACATGCTGACCCCCAGACCTCAGTCGAAAGTCATGCCTTCACCCTTTTCAGGCCAAATCAAAGAGAGCCAAAAAGTGAAAAATCGAAGGGTTTGTTGCCCTAAATTGAAAGACCCATTTTCTTGCTTTTATTTTATTTTTGCCTTTATATTTTCATGCAATTAAATATGGTTGTAATAGTGTAGGATTTTATCTTTCTGTATTTTATTACTTTTGTATGATTGCTAGTAAAATAGGGTATGTATGGCAAGATGAAAACAACAAGTAGACAACCCCTAATCAAAGAATAAATGCATGCAAATCAAATACACCATTCACATATGCACCCTTAGGGTAATCTCACTTGTTGCCTCGGAAAAATAGTCATGTACCTCGAATATGGGCGTTTTAGCAAAGACCCTCGATAAAAGATCGTAATCCCTTGATGACCCTCAATGTTGCCTTTGGTAAATGATCTAGTCCCTAAACGACATTGCTAAAACGTCTCATAGGTTGCCTTTTATGACTATACAAACATTCCACGCCCATCCCTTCACATCCAATGATGGGGCTTCTTACCAAAACAATAGTAAGATAGAAACATCTAAAGGAGGAGAAAAAGAACATTGAAGACCTTTATAGTAGGTAGAATGCTCCTAGTTGCTCGCTTACTCACAATAAAAAACATTTTATACACCAACACTTTCATTTTGAAACATTTTCAAAAGACAAACACTTTGTATGCGTTCTTATAGAGACGAGAACCATTACAAAGACACATTTTCAAAATCACTTTCAAAAAAAAAATTCCACAAACACTTCTTTGAACTATTTTCCAAACAACACTTTGTACACGTTCTTATAGAGACGAGAACCATTACAAAGACACGTTTTCAAAATACTTTCAAAACACACCACAAGCACATTTTTCAAACAAAAGCAAGTGATCTAGCAAGAAACTAAGAGCCCATAGATAACTATGGATGAAAAAGGTGCTAACACATTCCCTTTTCATAATCTACCCCCCAAACTCAAGAAAATAATCTCAAAGGTCTTTCCTGTTCTTTTCACCCTTTCCTTTATTGGATAAAAGAAAAGTCGATTGCGACTCTTGCTATCCGCAACAATTGCAATCAAACACAAAACATCCCAAGTCAGTTCTCCCACCGTGTTACAGGTAGTATAGAATAGATTTTCGAGGACGAAAATATTCTAAGTAGGGGAGAGTTGTAAAGCCCGTTAATTTAATTAATTATTTAATTAAATTAATTACGAATTAATGGTGGAATATGTTATTGAAATTGTTGAAGTTGCGAAATATTGAGAAATGCTGATTTAACTTGATAAGTTGTTATTTGGTTGATATTTAATTGATTGGTTGATTAATATTAGCAATAATATTAATATAGACATTAATATGGTTATAAGATTTATTGTTGGGTTTAATTATATGGTCGTATGTAGTAAAGGTGTGGGTGTGAAAGTTAGGCCCAATAAGAATATTAATAATTATAAGGTTAAGATAATT